TTCTTGGGTTTCTCTTTACAACCCAAGAAGTACAGAATATAAACATGAAAGCAGTTGGATGAAAACTAGAGGAGCTCCAAAGTCAGATCGGAGACTAAATTCTGTAGACTTGTGCTCTTCAAATTGCAATATGCGTAATCCCAGATGAACATAATGTTTTAGGGTACTCAAAGCTACAGGATAAAAACTGTGTACGCACCTAGACTATCAAATTTACATGATAATTTGAGAGGGAAAGATGTTTACAATAAGTGGAAATTATATAAAATGCAAATTTTTCCATGAATTTTTAAAGAATATAAACTATAATTTCATACTTGTGAATGAGCTACTTTAATTCCATCTACAAAGTTTGGGAAGGGAAGGTTGAAGGATTTATGTGTTCACTCTGTTATCATCAAGGGAAATGTCTAAGAAATATATCTTATGTTCTTTTCACCACTCCTACATTCATGAGTCTATCCACGTGAATCTTCTTTGTTCTCATATATAACCCTTCTATTTCATTTATTACTATCCTAGTCCAAGACCTCAACACCTCAATCTGGGATGACTGCAAAACCTTATTTCAAGGTTACAGGCTCTCTTCACCCAAATCCTTCAAAATTAATGAGATTAGATTAACTTTCTTCATATACTTTCACCTCCAAATCAGATACTCTAAAAACAACAAAACCAAATTCACTGCCACTGAGTCGATTCCGACTCATAGCGACCCCCTTTGGGTTTCCAAGGTGTAAATCTTTATGGAAGCAGATTGGCCAGTCTTCCTTCCATGGAGTGGCTGGTAGGTTTGAACCACCAACCCTCTGGTTAGCAGTCAAATGCCTTAGGCACCATGCCACCAGAGCTCCTTCTGAATAACAGCTATCATTACTGAGTTCCAGCTATGAAAAGAAAGGAGCTCTGGTGGCTCAGAAGGAAGATGGGGGCAATCTACTTCTGTAAAGATTTACCACCTCAGAAGGCCAATGGGGGTCACTATGAGTCAGAATCAACTTGACGGCAGTGGGTTTGGTTTTTTTTTTTTTTTTGATGGACCAAGTACTTTACATTCGTTATCTCATTTAACCTCCCAAATTTTATAAAACAGAAGCTCTATTTTACAAACACCAAGGTCACTGAGTTAAAAAGCAACAGAACTGGGACTTTAGCCATATCTCTTTTCAAAAGCTTACTATGCTATATACTGAGAAGCTACTCTGTCCAAGGAACCCACAGGGGTGCCAACAGTTAAACCCTTGGCTACTAACAAAAGGTTTCAATCCACCCAGAGGCACTTCTGAAGACAGACTGGGAAAGACCTACTTCAAAAGATCACAGCCATTGAAAATTCCATGGAGCATAAATATTCTACTCTGAAACACGTGGTGCTGCCATGAGTCAGAATCAACCAGGCAACCGGTTTGGTTTGGGTTTGTTACTATGTCCAAACCATTGCGCTGAACATTAAGGGGAATACATTTTCAACTTGATGCTCAAAACCTTTCAAGACTTCCCACTACCTATAAAACAAACTCAAATTAAAAAAAACAAAATGGCACTAAAGACCCTCTATAATTTCTAGCACTGAAAATTCTACTACAGCCAAGCAAAATTATTCATTGTTCCCCAAACATAAAACTCTCACTGAACTCTGGGTCATACGATTAATCTCAGTCTCAAAGAGCAAATGTCTTGCACCTTCACATATAGAAACTTGATCTCTCCTTTAAGGCCAGACTTAAGGCATTTAACATGAGACCTTCTCCAATTGTTTGGGCTCATAATGACAGCCCACTAATACAGATCACTTAAAAAGCAATGAGAGAGAATAGGTATGACTTTTAGTCATCCACTTAACAGTCTAACCCCATTCAGCACAAAAACTACACTCTATTACTTTTTTTCCCCCTCACATAGATGTATACATGGGCAGTCACTCAACTCCCAGACTGTTTGTTCCACTGTCTCACTCAGACATATTTTACGTAGACATTTCAAAACTAAGGTCAGGTATGATTTATCAGTTTGCTTACACTCAGCTGACTCTCTTTCCATCTGCAGCTACTTCAAGCCTTTATTCCTCTTCTTTAGAGCACTTTTCTAAACACACCCCACCTCATTCTTACCAAAAGACCTAAGCTTCCCGTGTACTGAGGAAAGAGAAATCATAAGGTAAAATTCATCCACCACTCCTCCCCTTCCACTTAGAAATATACCTGTATTTTCACCATCTTAACCTCAGTTCCTCTAGTCTCAGTGTGGCCTTAGTCTTTTCCTAAATTAAGGCCCCTACCGTGTTCCTGATCTCATCCTCTCTTAGAGTTCAAGCTCTCATTCTAAGTTTCACTCCTTTCTCTATCTTCAATCCCTGCCTCTCTAATGCTCTTTTCCCTCATGCAACAAACATACTTACTTTTTTCACTTATTAATTCCTAAATGTTTATTTAATCTATTATAAGCCAGGCACTATTCTAAGTGTTAGGGTCAGATAAGGTCCCTGCTGTCACACATCTTGTATTTTAGTAGGTAAGACTGACAATAAACAAGAAATAATAGAAAATGATGGTTTCTGTCGAAAATAAATGCTAAAAAGAAAATAAAATAGGGTTATTCAACTGAGGTAGAGTTAGAAGATAATGAGGGGATGGATCTCTTTAAATTGGTTGTCTTAAGAATTCCTCACTGGAAGGTAACAGTTAACCCTTTCATGATCTGTGAGACATGTCTCATTCTCCATTTTCAGCCTCTCATGTTTCTTGGTAAACTACTAACCCAGCTGTATAGCACGTTCTACCACCTGGCAGAGATACAGATCTCTATCTGTATAACTGCATTAATCTAGAGAAATGGGCCTCACCCAACCAAGCCTATCACCAGAATCCACTTGGCACATATGTGTCCCACAAAACTATATCAAATCCACGTTAATTAAAAAAAAAAAAAAAAAAAATTTTCCTTAGATTTCAGCTTGACTCTCATTACTGAAAATATATAAAAAAACCCAAAAACCAACTCACTGCCATCAAGTCAGATCCAACTCAAAGTGACCCCTCCTTGGGTTTTCAAGGCAGTATCACTACAAAAGTAGATTGTCCAATCTTCCTTCTGAGGAGTGGCTGGTGGATTTGAACAGCCAGCCTTCTGATTAGCAGTCAAATACCTTAGGCACTATGCCACCAGAGTTCCCAAAATTAGTATTAACAAAAAATTCAAAGCAGAAAATAATGTGGTCATGAAAGGGTTAAGTGATGACTCAAAGTCAGGAAAGTCAGCCATGTGCAAACCTGGGGGCAAACAATCTAAGATAGAGAAAACAAAAAAATACAAAGGCCCGCTGAGTTCACCTTGATTAATGAGAGAAAAAGGGCCTTGTGACTAGAACTTAATGAACCAAGTAAGGCAGTGGTACAAAATGAAGACTGGGTGGTAGACAGCATCAGGTCAAGTATACCATAGGAAAGCTTGAATTTTCTTCTATGTGCACAGAAAGTTACTGAAGGATCTTAAGCAAGAATGTGATCATTCTTCAAACCTTGTTGTTGTTGTTGTTGTTAAGTGCCGTCGAGTCGTTTCCGACTCATAGCGACCCCATGCACACCAGGACAAAACACTGCCCGATCCCGCGCCAGCCCCACAATCCCTGCTATACTTGAGCCCATCATTGCAGCCGTTGTCAATCCATCTCCTTGAAGGCCTCCCCC